GTGTACGAATGGAATGACCGAAGGTTATGGCTAGAAATATCAGTGACAGTGATATGCAAGTCAGCCTCCCAATAATAAAATCATTGAAACCCCTATGATGATGATGATGATATGATGATGATGATGATGATGATGATGGAGGGGCAATTAGGTAATTCCATGTGTGGTGGTGGGTGGAGAGATTCTAAAGACTAAAGAGGTTACATCAAAACGTGAGGGATGGGTTTAGTGGCTGCTGTGTCCGAAGATTCACACGGTCTCTTGTTCTACGGGGTCTTCCTTGGTCCAACCGCGATACAAAAATTTCAATGCTGCGTATATATACACATATACCACTATATATATACATACATATACGTATAGTGGTATATATAGTGGTGTGATTAGGCATTGCTCCCCTAAGTTTGGTCTCTTAGTGGGTTTCCACCCTCTCCCTATTGTATGTATATATATATACACATATATATTTGTTATTTCTAGGCATATGAATGTTCTCGAGTACTCTTGCATGGAATATATCTAGCAAGTATTTTTACATGCGCCGACTCAGAAACCATATATGGATACTTATGAATTTTATGTGCATGATCTTCCAGACATGAGTTGAACATATAAAATCTCAGAATCTTGATTTGTGGGATCTCCTTCGGTGTGTGCTTAATCTTTGTAATAACTTTTAATATTCTTATAAATTTATCATATATAGTGGCGGACTTTAAAAAAATTGTAAATGGGGGCAATAGATTTATTATGGGGATATTATATGATTCTATTTTAAATTTTACAAAATTAGAGAAGAAATTTATAAATTTTAATTGTATAAATAGGGGCCTATGCCCCCATTATGATACAAATAGGACGTCCGCCATTATTTATATATATATATATATATATATATATAGCAGAATCATCCTAAAAAACATGGAAGTTGGTATTATATGATCTGATTTCCTTGCAATTCTATTTCCATATTAATTAGATCTTCTACAGTTTTTACAATTTTATAAAATAATCTCAAGACTCTCAAAGAATTAACTGAACTGAAATCCGACTAAAAATAAATGCTTACAACTTTTTTAAAATAAAAAAATGAAAAAATAATTAAAAAATAAAATCTAATTGAAATCCAAAATATACACCCTAACACTAATAGCTATTCCATTTCTCCTTTCCACGAAATGTAAATAATTACTATAAAAACCAATAATTATGGACCAAAATGTAGATCTTGACCTGCGTGTGTGCATAAATATATATACGGAAAACTTCGGCTGTAAATTGTAATCAATCAGTTTACATAATTTGTTTGGTGGACCAACGTGAATATACAACATGTCGTCCGGTGCTACATATTTTAACGGACTAATAATAAGAAATCAATATTGATGATTAGATTAAATCTACAAAGAAAACTAAGAACATTAACACGCAAAACTATGAAGATACACACACGGACACATATCTAATCCGATGGAAAAACCCAACCAATTTTTGAAATGACAAAAGTTGAAAACTTTCATTAATAATTGAATAAAAACAATGGTCTTATATATATAACGGACCTAAGACTGTGACTAAACAGAATAATGTAATTAAGCTTGTTTTGTAGCGAAAAATTTTCAAGGCGATATATAATAATCGTCGTTTCGATTTAGTAATTATCTCAAATCCATTTATTTTTCGAAATCTAATGACGTGTTCTCTGTGCAGCGATTGGATTGGATGCCGACCACGACCATTAGGACTAGGACTGGGCATTTATACCTGTTATCCGTGGGTTTACGGGTACCCGATCTCATGGGTATCCGAAAAATATGTACTCGTCTCTAAATAAAGACGAAGATGGATACATAAAAATGACAACGAAGACAGATACGAGTTTCATTTTTACGAAGACAAGTATCCACGGGTATCCGTAAATATATAAAAATATCAAACATTCCTATATTTTTTAATTATTTATTTAACTATTAGGTTTTAACTTTTAAAAATTAATATATATATTTAAAAAACTTTTAAAAAATCTATATATTAAAATATATATATTTTTATATTTTATATATATTTTTGAATTAAATAATATAATTTTACTAAATATTTGGTTTATATTTATTTAAAAA